CGGGGAATGAGAGTCTTTTCTTAAAATTTCATAGTAGAAGCTAAAATGGAAATATTTAAATATGTATGTAGTAGCTGTTTGTTTATTTAAGCAAACGTTTAAATTCATATATGTATATTAAAATAATTTTGATATAATTGCTTATCTTATAGTTGTTCTATTTGTGGAACTCGGTAGTAAATTTAAGCCAACATTAACAAAATATTTGGTTTTAATGAATATCTGTTAGTAATAATCTGTACATCAATTATAATTGACTGTCTATACTACCTTACTTTTTCAGAATTTTTATAGAACATTTGTACCTACTAATTCATGAATTTGAAACAGGCTTAAATGTCTCAGGATGTGAGAATGATGTAATCAAGGAATAGGAACAGGAGTAGGAACAGGAATAGGACTAATTAAAAGCAAGAGTAGGAAAAGGAATGACGTTGGGGAATTAATACACAAAATATCTGTCAAAAAGAAAAAAAAGAAGACTAGAATGCTTTTGTGGGACATTTTACAGTTAGAATTGGTGTGTCTCTGAATCTTGGTTACTCTTGAGTTTCTTTTCCTCCTATTGGGTTTATTTTTTTCCAGCCTTGATAGGAGGGCTTTAGCCATATTATTGTATCTTGTTCTGTCCTATTTAGCTGCCATCTCTTGGACGCCTGTTCTTTTCTGGAGAAGAAATGGAGGAAAAGTAGGCCTATAGGACAAGGAAAATGTGGGGTGAACTGGAAGGAGTTGAAGTAGGGGAAACTTGTATGAAAAAAGAATCTATTTTCAACAATAAGACATACCAAATATATATCATTATTAAATATTCTGAATGTACGCCTTTGATTTTTCTTCATCACTACTTCATTCTAAGCCATCCAGGTCATTGACTATAAACCAGTCTATATCCTCTTTGAGAAGAGACTGAGGGTACCAGTAGAATCATAACATTTCAGTTTTTAACTTTCCAGGGGACATATTAGAGGAGTTAGAAGCAAATCAGTCTTTCATAGGAAATTTCAGCCCACCGCCTGTGTCAGGGCTTGATTAGATTGAAAAATCAGTAATGTAGTGAGAGAGTGGAGGGATGGAGGGTGAGAGGGAAGAGAGAGAGACAGAGAGAAAGAGAGATCTGAATGTTAGTATTCATACCAAGAAATAATCAGTATGTTGTTTTGTCTTAGATTTGTGTGACATTAATATTATTTAGAAATTTAAAATGAGTAAGTAAGAATAATAACTTTCTTTAGCAGTTTCTTTCCTTTTTGCTTATGACTAAAGTCAAGGTAGAATTAGTCTATCCATTCTTCTAGGCCATTCTCAAACATGTATCTACAAACTCAAAAAAAAAAAACCAACCAAAAGTCAAAGTCAAATAATTTAATACTTGTCTTCACATTTCTAAAACTTTCAGAACTCCACTTACACCATTGATATTAGTAATGCAATCTTTAATATTTGATTGATCATATATTCTTTTGAATATTATTTTTTTTAAAAAAGTAGATAATATGCTCCCTTAAGGAACTGTCTTGGGCTGCTTCACTATCTCAAATGCTATAGAAAGCAAATTAAACATTAGATTCACTTAATGATTATAATTATGTTGATATTTTCTTTATCCATTAATACTCTTCTATCTATGTAACTACACTAAGAAAATATACTTTTTCCTTTTAGAATCTGAATTATTTTATTTGTATAGATATTTTATCAACATGTATATTTGCGCACCATGTGCATGCCTGCTGCCTGTAGAGCTCAGGAGAAAATGTTAGAGCCTCAGGAACTGGAGTTACAGAGGATTTTTAGCTGTCAAGAGGTTGCCAGAAATAGAATATGTGTCCCTATGTTGAATATCTGTTGAGCTGTCTCGCCAATCCTGCAAACTGGAATATTTTCTGCAGTTAAACAGGTCATATTTCTAATGTAATCTTGAAGGTACAGAATGTGATCTTTAACACACATGCACATACACACACACACACGTGAGAAATAAGCTGTAACTCTAGATATGAATGACTTTAGAAGTACTTTAAACATATTTATTATAGCTTTAAATTTTGCCCTCCAAATTTACAAATAAAATAAAGTCACATGCTGTTTATCACAGAATAAACTATCTTAAAATAAAAATAATCTTTAAATGTTACATTAGACACTGCAAAACCCATTTATTCTTCTTCAAGTTTTTAAGAACCTTTGGCATACAAATAACCTTAGTTAATATCACTGTGGCACTATTTTCCAACTATCTTGGTAGGTGAAATTTTTTCTCTAGAACAATGGATTATTCTAGGCTTAGTTTTTCTTAATAAAATCACAAACATACTAAAATAAAATCACCGTTCACTTTCAAAATTATCTTGAGAATACAGAAAAATTTATTTAATTAACGATAAAAACCAGTTAAGTAAATATTTTTCTATTAAAACTAAAGAAATTGAAAATATAGAATCATAAAAGAAATGATGCTGAGACCATATTGCTAAATTAGATACAAAATTGTTTAATATCAACTTAGCAATGAAACATTATCTTTCATGTTGCCTTTCTTTTATATTATGCACATTATTTGCCCATATATGGATAAGTAGACAAATTCACATAAAATTTGCAGAACATGAAACCTAATTAAGAGCAAGTACATTTAAGCAATTATACACGCAATGCTTTTAGTACGACACTAAAGGAACATCTACATGTCCAAATTCACTGAGCTATTTACCAAGTGATTACTGAGATATACTGAACAGGATAACTACTCAATCAAGATGCTTACTGACAAATGATTGATAAGGATACAGAAATATGAATTGACATTGTTATTTACTGTGTGTTGGAATACATTAGCAGGGATGTCAGTATATGAAAGAAATTCTTCCAAGAATTTCAATAATAGTCATTTCCTAAAAGAAAGACATCATCTAAATAGTAAGCATGAGTCATTGGAAGAATATGGGAGGAAATAGTGAAAGAATGGAGTATAAGGGATAAGGAACCATTTCAGGGAGACTAAAATAAGGACATAGAATTGATGTGTGAAATGGGACTGCTATAGATATTATGCCATGAATAGATCGAACTCCAAAACTTTGGAGACAAGTGAATTCATGAATGGAGTGACCATTTTCTTTAATGAAGATTTTATTTTTTGAACAATAAACATTTAAATATTTTTGAAGGTGACATAACAGGAACTGCCTTGCATTTGCATAAACTCTTTTTGATAAGAATTTAGAGGCTGGAGTTTAGGTGTTTGAAAAAGGAACATAGAAAGGAAAAAGATTGGCATTCAGGAGGCTATTGAAATAATTAACAGAAAAGGTGCCACAAAATAAGTTACTAGCCATATGAACAAAAAGAACCAGCAAGTTTATTTCTCATTTTGTCTAAGACATGGGGAAATTTACTGGCATATTTTAAATTTTTATTTATTATTTTTAGTGTGGGTGCATATTAGAAGACATCTTTGTAGAATCAATTTCCTTTTTGAACTTTGATGAAGTTACTGGGTATTAAACTCAGGTCATCAGGTTTGGCCCATAAGTACCTACACACTTATACTGAAACACATTTCCAACATCCAAATATAGAATATTTTAATTTTCAATAATTTATTTGATGATGGTTCATTTTCAATAATTCTTTAGATTGATCACATGTCTGCATATAGGCACATATATAATAGTTGTACATAGTCAATTAACCAGACTAAGATTGAACATTTCTTATGGCTTCCAGGTTTTATCTACCAGTATGTTGAAAAACAAGTGTCTGATAGTGTGTGATATTCTCAATAGGCTAGACACCGAAAGATATGAGAACAATGGTTATGAACTGGGCATATGTCAGTGGTAGGAAAGGTCTTTAGTCAAATGAGAGTATTAAAGGAGGCTGTATGTTAATCACAGTTAAAGAGGTATTGAGGCTAGGTTGGGTCACCTGACTTGGGATCCTGTGGAAGCCTAGAGGCCATGATTTAATTGCTACACCAAAAGACAATGCCAGGACACTGGTTTTGGTATACTCATTAGGTCCAGAAGAATCTGGAGATGCAAATATAAAGGGGTGTGTGTGTGTGTGTCTGTGTGTGTGTGTGTGTGTGTGTACAGTCAACAGGCTAAGCCATGGAGGAGGATCTGTGAATTATATGTGTGGAGTGTGGTGGTGCAGATATCCCAAAGGGTCCTGTGAGTGGATGAGGATAGGGCCAGTCCTGGAGTGAGCATAGATATTGGTTATAACACTAACTTCTGGGACTAAGTAGGATGTCAGATTTGGACTCTAAGGAAGCCTAGAGGTGGCTACTGCAAGATACAGGCTAAAAGACTAAGCTGTGAGACACAGGCTAGATACTGTGAAATGTAGAAAAACGAGTGTAGGGTGGTGGTATACAATCACCAGGCTTTAACCTGGAGGAGGACGTGGGAAGTCTGTGTATGAAACAAAAAGGGGTAGACAGATCCAACTGTCCTGTGTGTGGATGAGTGTAGAAGACTGGGTCCTGGAGGGAGCCTAGATGTTTTCTATAGCACACAATGGTAAGATGATTGATAGATATACTGATATGCAAATACAGGAATATTACTTGGGAAAGATTTTAGGGAAGATATTCAAGATACTAGTCAAAGATTGAGGCAGACATGGTGGAATAAACCAAAGACAGGAGTAGTATTGGGGAAGACGTTTGAGAAGCAAATGATCTGTCATTTGTTCTGCCACAACTAAAGTGAATATGTAAAGAAGGATGGCATGGAAAATTGGCCTTAGAGTTATTAAGCAGCAGTCTCCATCTAAAACCAAACTGTCTTGGCATTCTCAATACTTCCCCCCTATCATCAAAGTGTCAGGAGTGGTACACTCTGTTGTTTGTTGCTTCACCAGGCACTCTTGCGGGTCAGAACCATGTTTTGTGATGTCAGAGCACAAGCTCACCTACTATTGGTTGAGGACCTTGATGATGAATCAGTTCTGAGGGTGTGGCCTTCCCTGCTCTGCCAGTTGTTCACAGCCCCTCGAGGGAGAAGCAACGCACTGCTTGGTGGTGGAGAAATTTGGGAAGGAACCTAAGGAATCGCTGTCCGACATGGACCTCCCATCCTCCACTAGTGATGTGCCGATGGTAGCGAACGGGTCAATCCTTATGGTGAAGACAAAGGCGGCTTACAAGCAGTATCCACCAAGCATCCTGTATGGAATGGTGAGATGACAAGCCCTACCGGAACTCCCTCCTCCACTAATTTACTCTTACCTAAAGTTACTATCTTTCTCTGTCCTGGCATAAATCCTTTATCAATTCTCAATTTTTCTGACCAAGTATCCTTCACATGCTTATCCTGACTTCTCCCTATATTAACTAATTCTTGTGTTCTTCTCTTGCCATTCCAGGGATTGAGGACAAGAAAACACAGGAAACGTGTCCAAAAGAAGATCATCACAGAGAAGGATGATGAAGAGGCGGCTGCCCCCGAAACAAAGAAAGTCAAAGAGTCACCGGTGACTGAAATGCCTCAACCTCTGGAGGAGCAACTTGAAAAGCAAGCTGAGGAGCAGGCGACAGGAGAAGCAAGTGAAGCTGCAGCTGCTGATGATGGGGAAAGTCAATAAGTTAACTATCTTGAAGATGGGGAATTTCCTAACCTATGACAAATAAAAGGAAAATTGCATTGTTAATAAACATAAATTCAACATAATTGAAATGTTATGTGTCCTTGTGAGTGACTGATGGTGAAACTAGGAAAGGAGAGAAAGAATAATGGCTATGGAGGAAGAGAGGGAATATGGGTGGGTTAATGGCGATGGAGACATTTGTTTCTCAGTAGGTTTGGGGCAGCAATGGTGGGTGCATGGAAGGAGAGGGAGTTCGGGTGGGTAGAAGACGAGGGGGGAATTTGGTTGTCACAAGGCTTGAGACAAAAATGGTGGGTGCATAAAAAGAGAGGGAGTTCGGGTGGGTAGAAGACAAGGGAGGGATTTGGGTGTTACAAGGTTTGGGGCAGTAATGTTTGATGCATGGAGGGAAAGGGAATTTTGGTGGGTATATGACAAGGGAGAAATGGGTCTCACAATATTTGGGGCAGTAATTATGGGTGCATGGAAATAGAGAGTGTTTGGGTGGGTAGAAGACAAGGGAGGGATTTGGGTCTCACAAGGTTGGGGTAGTAATGGCAGATCCATGGGAAGAGAGGGAGATTGGGTGGGTTGAAAACAAAAAAGGGAATGGGTCTCACAATGTTTGGGGCAGTGATTTTGTGTGCATGGAAAGAGAGGTAGTTTAGGTGGATACATGACAATGGACAGATTTGGGTCTCATAAGGTTTGGGTCAGTAGTGTTTGGTGCATATAAAGAGAGGGAGTTTGGGTGGGTATAGAACAAGGGAGGGATTTGGGTCTCACATTGTATAGTGTAATAATGGTTGATGCATGAAAATAGAGGGTATTTGGATGGGTATATGAGAAGGATGTATTTGGGTCTCACAAGGTTTGGGGCAGTAATTGTGGGTGCATGGAATAAAAGGAGTTTGGGTGGCTAGAAGAAGAAGGAGGGATTTGAGTCTCACAAAAATGTTGGTAGAAATGAGAGGTATATGGCAAGAGAGGCAGTTTGGGTGGCTAATGAAAGGGAGGTATTGAGTCTCATATAAGTTGGGGGATTAATGGTGGGTATATTGCAAGAGAGGGTAGATGACAAGGGAGGGTATGATTCTCATATACTTTGGGCACAGAAATTTTGTGTATATGGCAAGAGAGGCAGCTTAGATCGATAGAAGACAAGCAGAGGATTTAGGTCTCACAAGGCTTAGGCAGTAAAGGCGGGTATATGACAAGACAGGAAGTTTGGGTGGGTAGAAGACAGAGGGAGATTAAGACCCATATACTTTGGGGGAATTAATGGTGGGCATATGGCAAGACAGGTTAGATGACAAGGGAGTTATTTGGATCTCACAAGGCTTAGGCACTAATGGTGGGTATATGACAAGAAAGGGAGTTTTGGGTGGGTTGAAGATGAGGGAAGGATTTGGGACTCACAAGGTTTGGGGCATTAATGGTGGATGCATGGAAAGAGAGGAGTTTGGGTAGGAAAATAACAAGCGACAAATTTGGGTCTCACAAGGAATGGGGCAGTAGTGTTGGGTACATGGAAAGAGAGGGAGTTTGTGTTTGTAGAAGACAAGGGAGGGATTTGGGTCTCACAAGGGTTGGGGCAGTTATGGTTGGTGCATGGAAAGAGAAGGAGTTTGGGTAGGTATATAACAAAGGACAGACTTGGGTCTCATAAAGTTTGGGGCAGTAGTTGTGCATTCATGAAAACAGAGGGAGTTTGGGTAGGTAGAAGACAAGGGAGTGATTTGTGTCTCACAAGTTTTGCAGTCATAGTGGTGAATGCATGGAAAGAGAGGGAGATTGGATAGGAAGAAAACAAGGGAGGGATTTGGGTCTCACAAGGTTTGTGGTCGTAGTGGTGGGTCATGGAAAAAGAGGGAATTTGGTTAGGTACATGACAAGTGATGGATTTGGGTCTTACAAGGCTAGGGTCATAAATGGTGAGTGTATGGGAAGAGAGGCAGTTTGGGTAGGTAATGACAAGCACGGGACTGAGTCTTATATACATGGAGGACATTAATGGTGGGTATGTAGCAATAGAGATTAGATGACTAGAAAGGGTATGATTCTCATATACTCTGGGTACAGAAATAGTGAGTATATTGCAAGAGAGGCAGCTTGCTTGGTTAAGTGATGAGAGGAGAATTTGGGTCTCACAAGGTATAGGCAGTAATGGCGGGTGTATGGCAAGAGAGGGAGTTTGGGTGGTTAGAAGTCAAGAGGGAGACTGAGTCCCATATACTATGGGGAGATTCATGGTGGATATATGACAAGATAGGTTTGGGTGGGTAAATGACAAGGGAAGGATTTGATTCTCAAACACTCAGGGGGCAAAAATTGTGAGTATATGGCAAGAGAGGAGTTTGAGTTATTATATGACAAGTGTGGGATTAGGGTCTCAGAAAGTTAGGGTCAGAAATGATAAGTATATAGCAACAGAGGGAATTTTGCTGGGCAAATGACAATGGGGGTCTTTGGGTCCTACACTTTGGGGGCAGAGATGGTGAGTATGTAGCAAGAGAAAGAGTTTGGATGGGTATATGACAAGGAAGGGATTAGGGCCTCACAAGGTTGGTGGCAAATGATGTGTATATGCCAAGAGAGGGAGTTTGGGTAGCTGTATGACCAGGGGGGATTTGGTTCTCTCTAGGTTTGGGGCAGAAATGATTGATATATTTCAAGAGAAATACTTAGGATGGGCATATGACAAGAGAGGGGGATTTGTTTGGCCTATGAAAACTGATATGTTTGAGTATCACTTGTTTGGGGGCAGAAATGGTGGGCTTATCACAAGACAGAGAATTGTGTGGTTATATGACAAAAGAAGGATTTTCAGTGTGCATTTATCAAGAGAAGGATTTGGGTCATAGCAGGATGGGGTAAAAATGGTGGGTGTATGGCTAGTGAGGGAGTATGGGTGAGTATATGATATGCGACAGATTGTGCTTCACAATGTTTGGGGGCAGAAATGGTGGGCATATTATAAGAGAGGGAGTTAGTGTTGATATATGGTAAGGGAGGAATGGAGGTATTGGAAGAATGGGGTCAGTAATGGTGGGTATATGGCAAGAGAGGGAGTTCAGTTGGGTGAATGACAAAGAAGGGATTACTGTCTTACAAGGTTTTAGGGGAGAAATGCTGGCCATAAGGCAAGAAAGGGATTTCAGTTGGGTAAATGACTACGGAGGGATTTGAGTCTTTCAAGGTTTTAGTGAACAAATATTGGCTATATGGCAAGAAAGAGCATTCAGCTGGTTGAAAAGCAAGGGAGAGATTTGTGTCTTACAAGGTTTTAGGGAAGAAATGTTTGCTATATGGCAAGAGAGGGAGTTCAGTTGGGTGAATTAGATGGGAGAGATTTGTGTCAGATAAGCAACTTTCGTGAGTATACTATAAAGATGGACTTTGATTGGGTGTATGTTATGAAACACACCTTGGTCTCAAATATTTGAGACCTAGAAAATTGACTTAGGTTGGTGTATGACAAAGAAGGCTCTTTGGGGATGAATATGGAAAAGCTGATATTTTGTATAATATGGAAATAGCATCCAGACAAGGAATTTTATTTGATATATGAAAAAGAAAAGAATTTGACAAAGAATACGACAAAGAAGGGACTTTGATTTCCACAGATTTGAGGGTCATACCACAAATGCACTATAAGACACATAGAAGTAATGTATGGAGCATTGAATCTAAATTGCTACTCTTACCTTATCACATAGAGAAGAATCAAGAAGACTGTGCTCCACCATCTTTGTATTTTTCAAGAGCAGGTCAAAACTTAACAGTATGAAATATCTCAACCTATCTGAGGGGATGTGTGTGAGTGACAGTTATCCCCACAAATAGAAGATACATTTCCTTTTAGACAACTGTTTTTGAGTTTTGGTTTTCTACCTCACCATACAATGTAAGTAAGGAAAGCTCCACAGGAGCACCCCACACTCAGTATACTAGAATATACTAATCACATCTCAGAGAAAGCAATGCTACTTGAAAGTGACAGGTTTAACCTTGGTTATCCTTTATAAGAAATTTGGGGTTTAGTAGGACTTTCAGAGTGGACACCTTCCATAACAGGCCTAGCAGTAATGAGGATATATTAATGAGACACTTGTGTAGCTTGAACTATCAGAGTAGTAAAATAATAAACTTCAACATAATGAGTATTTCCACAGAAATCTCATGACAGGTAAAGCAATGCTCTCTAGACAGAAGAAAACCTTGTCACCTTAAAGAAATTTCACACAATTCTTACTATCAAAACACCTTGCCAGATAAGATTAAAGATTAGACAATGAGGGGTAAGCGGAGGGAGGGTAGATGCCACCTCTTGACCACAACGGCTTATATATCAACATTCCTGGCCCTCTACCTAAACTTTAATCTCAGTTCAGGACTTCAAGATGCAAGTTAGAGACTTTAAAGTGTCTCTGGATTTCTTTATAACTAGTTAATTGGGTGCTTGTCCAAAATATAAGGAAATTAATTCATGATCATGGCAAGATTCAGGCAGGCATGGCACTGGGCCAGTTGTTGAGTGTTTACATACTGATCCATCAGTAGTGGGTAGAGAGAGAGACGGGGCCTGATTTTGGAATGCAAACCTCAAAACCCACCCTCAGTGACATATATTATTCATAAAGGCCATATCTACTCCAACAAGATCACACTTCCTAATCTTTCCCCAGCAGTTGCATTCCTTGGTGACTAAGTATTCAAGTACATGAGAGTTTGGTTTTCATTCACATTAACTGTGAAAAATTCTTCAGTGTGTTGGGGGTTACTCACTAGTCTAAATTGAGGGATTTGATCTAGAAAGTCTGTTTACAGAGTATGGGGGATTAATCATCTAAAAGTGTCTTGTCAACGGATGCATGTAGGATGGTTTCTGTTGGGAGGATAGATGTTAGGTACAGACACCACGATGTGCTAGCACAAGGCCGGTTAGAAAGATACAAGTCTGCAGAGTCCTAGACCTATTTACCACAAAAAGCTAGTCACCACACTAGGCATGGCACTGGATGTGAGACCAATTTAGATATGTAAGAATTGTTGAAAAACAAGTATCAGATAGGGTGTACTC